CGCGGACGTGTCCGTATTGCGCGTTTCGAGGGAAACTCGACTCCTTCGGCAATCGCGATCGTGCTCGATCCTTTAGTCACCGCATCTGCGACACCTGGCAACGAATCTTCCGAGTTTCGAGTCGTGAACCCACTACCTAGATCGTAGATAGGCAACCGCCAGCGATTGCCAAGAAACGGAGAAAAAGTGTGAGAGAGAGAGAGAGAGAGAGAGAGCGCGGAAGCGAGTGTGTGCGCGTGTACGAGAGGTAGGAAGAGAACAAGGACCCGGGATTGTAACGATAAGAAAATAATAGTCGACGATAACTAGCGGTCGGGTAATGAGCGAATTAACGATAATCCTTTTCTTAGCGCGGTAGAGCAGGCATAATAGAGAAGCGACGAATATTTTGAAACGATTTAATCGTCGGTCAGTTTAGGGGAAGGGAAAGAGGAAATAAATGAAGCAAAATAACAATGTCCATGTTGCTAAATATTAGCGGTGAAGTAGTTTGCGTATAGCGACGTGTTAGTTTAAAATTAGTGCGTAGTGCGAGTGAAACAGATGGGATGAAATGGAGGAGCACCGAGAGGGTGGAAAAGGAAGCGAGAGCTTGAGTGAACGCGAAAGAGAACACGAGCGAAAATTATCGCGTGGTTACGCGTTTATATATATATATATATATGTAGAGTGGTAAAATCGAGAGTATCACACGTACGTCAAACATACACAAACAAATGGACAGGCGTGTTGTAAAACGCGGAGGACAAGAATAAATGCAAGAGCGAGAGCAAGAGGAAGGCTGGATCTGAGAAACGCAAAGGGTAGTAGCGGAAAGGAGGAAGAAACAAACGAAGACGAAAGAAGCTAGATACGCAGATACACGCGAGAAACACACGAAGCATAGTAGACACGTAGATTACAGTTAGGAGATAGAATTTTAGGTGAAGTTATCGAGCCCGTTCCTTCCTATTAGATATGGTAGCGTTAGAGATGCCCGGCACGCCTCGAAACGAGGACACGTGGTCTGCACCTACCGACTTGGTGGAAAAGAGCTTCGCTCCAACGGCGTTTCTTTTGTTTCTCATCGAAGAAGAAGAAGAAGAAGAAGAAGAAGAAGAAGAAGAAGAAGAAGAAGGAGAAGAAAGAGGAGCGTTAGACAACGGCCGCTTGTTACTTCCTCGAGCCGTTCGTTCTTCTCGATGCATTCCATGCTGCGTTTCGTTCGCGACTTTTCCCAATGGATCTTTCTCACGAAGATCGACTTTCCCAGCAATAAAAGGAAACAGAGAGAGAGGGGGAGAGAGAGAGAGAGAATAGGCAAAGCACAGGATAGAAACGCGTTCGAATGGCACGCATGTAGGGTAGCGACATCGACGCGACGAGCGCGGAAAAAGAAAAAATTCGTTTTGTAATTCGCGGAAGCGAATAATCGCAGCAAGGCTAGGGCGCACAAGGAAAGAACAGCGAAAAACGCGAGATAGAGAAGAAGGGAGTCAACGAAACGGTAAATGGTAAACAGGGAGAGAAAGAGAGAGAGAGAGAGGGAGAGAAAGAGAGTGTGTGAGAGTACCGTATCCATTGTAGTCGCGCGTAAATTATTATAAATATGAAAACATTAATATTATCACCGAGCATATTGTATACCTCTTCTGTACATACAGCTGAACGGCACCAACAATAACGAGTTACGATTTATCGTAGCCACGATGGGAAACGGCGAACGTCAGATCGATGTTGCGTATTGTCTTTTTTGCGTGGCGAGCAATCGAAGCGAGTATGGTCGTAATGTAATTATATTACCGCTGCGGTACGATGTAACTGCATGATCGACGGCACCGTATACATATACATATACATATACATATACATGTATATAAATATATATATGTATATATATGGTATATATAGTATATATATATAGTATATATATACATATTATAAATACATTTCGTAGAACGAGGATCGCGATGGCGAGCGATGATTTTCTATTATTGCTATAATTATTACCATTACCGTGATTACGGTTTCTTACGATGATCGCTGCGACGACGACGACGACGATTAGTACTTACGCGGATGAGTGTGTTACGAGAGAGTGGCAGGGTAACCGTAACCGAGTGCTGTGTACGGAAAAGTTGAGAGAAAGAACGAAAAAGCGTGTATCGTTGGCGTGCTCGTCGGACGAGTGTCGCGGGGCAGGGAAGAAGGATGTATCCGTCGAGCAGCAGCGTTGTGGACCTTATTTGTAGGTGTAGACTAACGCGAGCAACAAGGGGTTCCTAAATGTTGTCCGGACGATTCGCCGACATCCGAGGGAGAGCGTACGGGCGAGGATTCTCGAGTCGAGCCGATCAGAGATCGAAGCTAAACGAAAGAGAAAGCGAAAGAGAAAGCACGGGAAGACGCAGGCAGACAGAAAGTAAAAGAGAAGAGAATCGGCGCTCGTACGCGTCCTGGCGATGGATCGCGTCGGCTTCGTACAGCCGTCTTGAATGAATATCGATCGCAACGATCGGCCGAGAAAGCCGACACTTTTTCGCTGATATTTCTTTTTTCACGCACCGACGATGGACCCCCGATTTTTAGTCCCGCAAGCGAATAGGCGAACGACAAAGAGGCAACGCGATCGAGCCCCAGCGTTCATTCTCCGTTTATTTATCGTTTATTTAACTTTTATTACCGTCGAGAAAACGGAACTTCCCCGATGAAGTTCGAAGCCACGTTTCTAGGCGTAAACGATCATCCTGTGGTTATTTCTTGGCAGAACCGAACCAATGCTCAAACGCTGTTGGTTTAAAGTGAATAAAAAAAAGCTGAGAAACCAAGATTTTCTTTACCCGTCTGTACCTATAGGCCTGTAACACGTCGTGTATGTGCAGTGGAGTATAAAGGGAATAATAAAGAGTACACACTTTTTATATGCACGGTTTTTAACTCTTCTCGCTTCACCGTCTTCCATTCGATTTTTACGAATGTCCTAGAAATTCAAATATAATTTCATGGTATGCTACGGCATCTGTATATTCCACGACGAAGGTAAGGAATGCGTCGTCCACGTTGCCACGTACGAAACGAACGACATACGAATCGATCGAACGATCGGTGGCAAGCTTCAGACGCGGCCAAATATTCGCGACAAATATTCGGAAAATGACGAAGACGAGCGAACCGATATTTCGACTTGGTAGGACAGGAGGAACAACGAGTTGGTCGTAAGACCTCCGACATATAGACAACGACATACGCTTGAATCAATCGCAAGATATTCGACGATGGGTGACATTCTACGAAACTGGATACAAGCGAGGCTAGGAATCTTGATCGATCTGACACCCGAGGTGTTTGGTTACTACACCAGGGACGGCTCGCTTCTCGCACAGATTCTGCACAGCTACGACATAATAAACCGCGATCAGTTGGACACGATCGTCGTTACCCAAGATCCTGCTCTCTGCAGAGTAAATCTGAAGCACTTGAAGTTTTGGTTGCGATTCGTGGGAATCGATAGCGACGATGAAAGCATCGAAGAAATTTCCTGCGGCAAAGGTACCACGTCGATGCGCTTGTTCTACAAGCTGTACCTGTGCCTGGAAACCAAGGACAGGTTGCACTTTATCACACTGCAAAAAGAGAGGGAAAAATTCGTACCCACGTCGAAGAAGTTCGAAGTGACGAAAGTCTGCGAGGACCCTCCACCGTATCAACCGATGGAACACCCTTTGTCGAAGAAGTTGGCGAAGGGAAAGGACGTCGTTGACTGGCATCGTACCAACCTCCCAATCATACTAGCAAAGTTTCAAAAAGAACGAGAGAAGTTGTTGGCTGTTCCCACGTCGTACACCGTGGCGCAACCCAGCGTAGAGCAGTGGCCAGCCGAGGTATCTATGTAAGTATTCTTGGTGGAATACTCTAGCGAGGCCATAACAGTCAGGTATCGATATACACGAGTACTAGGAAGATCCGAATTTTATTGAATTTCGATGAAACCGAGGAATATTTTCGATTTATGACCTCGCTATATCCTTTCCACGAAGAGTACCTACTCTGCATCGTCTATCATCCGGGTGCGTCGTACACCGCCTTGTCATACAAGTTACCTTTCGCCCCTGTGCGTTTAGAGTACGAAAACATTGCTAGACATTAGACAGGAGCATAGCGAGGAATTGGACCGGTTTGCTTATCAGCACCGGGTTCGGAAGAAGCCGGGCAAAGAAGGCGGGCCAGACGACAAAGAAAAGGAAGTGGAAGAAGAAGTCGAACGGGAAAGACAAAGGAAAAGAGGAGAAAGAGAAGAAGGAGAAAAAGAGGCTGCGGAGACGAGAGCGATCTCGGATGATCCAGAAATGGCCAGAGTGTACGTCGAGTGGTTAAAGAATCGTAGCAAACGCGCAGCAACTGCTACCGTTCTGAAATCGAAGATGCAGAAAGCGCTGCTCTCGGAATTGTGGGAGAGAGTGGCGGAGAAACAGGAAAGAACGTTCGACGAAGAAATCGCGAAGCGAGTGTTGGACCAGTCGAGATACGAGAAACAGATCGTGACGAAATTGTGCGAGGTCCGCGAGCAAAAGAATACAATGGCCGAAAATCAGAAGGTCGTCGAGGACATAACCGTAGAAGCAAAGGAGGTGGAGCATCGCGCGAGCTACGAAAGAGCTCAGGATCTGGTGAGCAAGCGACAGAAAGACATCGAAATCGAATGCCGAAGAATATGCGAATTGCGCCGACGGCTTTTAATGGAAAAGATACGAAAGATACGGGAGAAGCACTGGCGATTTTGCCGAGACATCGTCGTCGATTTGGCGAGCATCGCGTTGAACGTGGCTGACCACCGACGAGTGAACGACGGTTGCGTACCGCTCGTTCTTCTCAGCGAATGGAAGATGCTGTTTCTCAAGTCGCAGCCCATCTTCGACGAAGAAGTACCTTACAATGGAAAACACAAACAATCCTCGGAGCAGGAGCTCGAAATGTTGCTGAAATCGGATACGTGGATGGAGGTTGACAAGGTGGATTTGCTGCGAGATGCTCTGTTCGACAATTATTTGGAAACGAACCCACCTTGGAACGAGTCGTTGCCGGTGCTGGCCGAAGAATTGCAAGATCTTGTCAAGCTGGGACGCGCGGTGCTTGGATACATCGTGCATCGACTTCTCAACTTCCTTCGTGTTCATCCCGTGGACCGATCTCAAACCTTGCTGCAGAAATTCAAGAACGTGACGATCGTTCTCGGGATAGGAAACCCCGCGGTTTGCGAGTCGATTCGAGCGCTGCTCGATCGATCTGCTATTCGGACTGTGAGAATGGAAGACGCGATTAATTATTGTCTGGAACGGTATGTTAGACATTTCTTTATGGATGGGTACGAAGTACTGCTTCGCCGAATCATTCGCTCTATTACGTTACAACGAATATACACGTCGAGAGTTCTTACTTCGTTGTACCGTATGCTCCATTCTTAGAGTTTTAGAACTTTCGCTATCATCGGGCATTCGCGCACTCTCGCTCGTGTTTACGCTAGTCACACGCAGTCCAAGTACTCATCCGAAATTGTGCTCTACCGCGTAACTGGTACCGACGACCTGAAAACACGTGGTCGTTGACAGGTACAAGCAGGAGATGTCCGATGTGGAGTACATCGATTCGAATATTATCGCTGCGACGACGGACGTCATTAGGAAGCTGGAGAGCGAAAAAGGGCGAATCTCGTGCGCCAGAATGGATAGACTCGGTAAAGATTCGAAATGGGCAACTTCCTCGCCGGAAACGACAACGAGGAAAGGCGTGACTGGCGAGAGAAAGTTATTCGTTTCGGCCAAATCAGAGACGGAGGAAGAATCGAACACTCGCGATAAGCAAACGCAAACTCCGAGGAACATACCGTACGACGATTTAGATCCCGTATTGACCGATGCCGCGTACATTGGTAGGTTCGAGTGAGGCGCTCGATCCAATCTTTGCGATCTAATCTTTCAAACTCCCTTTTCCTTTGCACCGAGAGATTCGCGATTCTTGAATTCTCGAATACGCGCAGGTAAGTGGGCCTATGAATTTCTAACGTTGGGCGAACCGATCACGGACAATCTCGCGACCAAGATCTTGATCGAGTACTTGAAGAGCTTGGTGAACGCGAAAGGTTGGGTTCTGCTCGATTATCCCAACACTTACGAGCAAATGTCGCGACTGGAGACAGCGATGACGGGCTCGGCTCCACCTCCCGACCCAAAGTTGCTCGATTTCGACGACGTTACCATAGAGGACATCGAGACCGTGACTCCGAGAATCGTTTTCGAAGACAAGTCCGACCCATACTCGTTAAACAGGCAATTAGAAACAAATCGTAAATCGAAAATCTCGCTAAGAACACTGCGCGTTTGTAAACTCCGTCATTTTTCCATCGATTTTACAGACAGGCAAAGCTGGTACACGATCCGGGCGCGGAGCTACAAGCCGAACCCGCGAGTCGTACATTCGCCACGCTCTTCGTTCGAGTGAAGCAACAACCAAAATACTTCGAAATAGGAGTTCGAACTTACGAAACGTTGAACGAGGACTCGCCATCGATCGACAAATTCTACGCGTCCCGCAAGATCGCTCGCATTCTCTACTATTCCACCTTCGATTTGGCCACGTTGAAGAAATTGGCCAGACTTACGATAGGCGACCCGTTGCAGAGGAAACCTTCCGAGGAATTATTCGGCGATGCGTTGAATATGTTCGAGCGAGAGACGAAACGTGGCGCGACCTTGAAGGAGGCCGTCGTTCGACAGCTGGTAACCGAGGAAGAGTACGCGCAACTCGAGTCCGACGTGGACGACGACGCCATGGAAGAGGAGGCGAAGCAAGATCTCGTATCCGACGATTTCCAGATGGAGTTTGAACCGCGACCAGCCAGACCTGGTGAACCCAATTGGCAATGGGTCGACTTTCCTTTGCCTTTCGCGTTGCTAGAAAATTTGGCAAGCCTGTGGGAGAGCTTGGAAGAGATCTACGTGGAGGAAATAAAGGAATTGCTCCTCCTCAAGAGCATCCACGCGTCGAGTATCGTTCCATATGCAGATTTCATAACGAGAAACGCGTTGGAGTTTGTTAAACGACCTGATAACAAACAGGATCTGCTGCACCGATTTCATCAGGCGTACAACGCGATCGACGAGGACGCACGGAACGACGCGGACGTCAAGTGCGAGCTGCATCGTCGCGTGGCAGATTTCCAAACGGAACTTTGGGAAATTTGCGATCGGAGAAGACGCGAAGCTGAGGAGGAACGGAGGCGATTCGTCAACGACCAGTGGGCTGTTTACGAGGCGGTAGTTCTGTTTAACACGTACATCGGCATCGTTCAAGCGGAGATCGATCGATGCGTCGACACGATACGTCTGTTGCAAGATTACTATTTCGGAATGATGAAAAAGCCGTTGCGAGAAATCGGCGTTTCGAAGGTTGTTCTGAATAAAATCGAAATCGAGACGAACGACAGGGAAAACGACGTGGACGATGGCAACGAACAGCGGGATTTCCAAGAGCAGCCACCGTTCGAACCTTCGAATTTTGTCGAAAAATCGCCTGATCGAAAGGCAAGAGGAAGACTGAAAACCAAAGACAGACGGTCGACGATAACATACGCCGCTGCTCCACCTGCCCTCGATCGCGAATCTCTTCGAATGGAGATCAACGACGCGTTTGTCGACAGACAAAAAACTATCGACAACATGGAGAACAACAGTTTGTTTACGAGAATCGTAGAAAACGTTCGATATGTGAAAAGTATCGTGGAAACGTTGTTCGCGGCTAGCAACGAAGCGATTAGAAGAGAACAGATGGCAATTTCCAAGAACAAAGACTTTTCGACCGATTCGTCCGATTCGATCATTGGGAAAATGGCATCGAGGGGTCAAGATCTAATTTTGGAATGGCGCTACGCCATTACCTACGAGATAGAAAGAGTTCGTGAGAAACTGGACTCGATAGTGAACGTGGCTCGACTGGATGTCGCTTTCTTGTTGAGGACGTTGCAAAGGACCTTCCACGGCATTTACGATGCCATCGTAGACAGGTTAATCATCGGTGGTTTTATAGTTACTTTCTCCTTTAATTCTTATGTCGATCATTTTGTCGAAATTTTCGCCGTTGTTTAACTGAAAGAAACGAAAGAGTATCCGAACGTTGACATAAGAATCTATCGATCGGCGCCTGTCAATCACCGTTCTTGTGCCCGTTACCGTTTTCATCATTTACGATCGTACAGATATTGGCGGGAGATGAAGAGCGTGAACAACATGGCGAATGTGTTCTGTTTCGCGATCGAGGAGAGTAGAGTGCTGGAGACAGAGCTGCTACTAGAGGGTGACCGGTTCGTCGTCCGATCGAACGTGTACATGACGGAAGTAGAACCGGAGAAGCCGAAGCGCGTGGAAGAGATCGCGTCGTCCTCCCGATTCCGAATAGCCAGCCTCGCGCGCTTGATGGAGATATTTAAACGAGTCGCGCCAAGTGGAATGATATGCGAACGCAGCCTGGTTTATATCTTTCAAGATTTAGCGAGCCAGGGCCAGGAAGAGGGAGAGCCAATGTTGCTGCCATGCTCTTGGTACCAACTTCGACTGGGCGAAATCTCGAAATTGCTTGCTAGATTTTCCGGTTCCGTCGAATACGTCGATTGGCGAGAATTTCTCGTTTGCGCGATGGACCTTCCCATTCCGAACTGTCAAGAAACGTTAATAGCCAGGGATCGCTTCAGGATTCAGGATCCCGAGTTGAGAGAAGTGGTGACTGTAGCTCAGTACGGTCGAACGTCGCTGTGGTTTCTCGAATGCCCGGACGGTTCTGCCAATGTACAGCAGCTTCGTCTCGACGAGTTTCGAAAAGGTTCAGAGGACCTGGACGAGGAGGAACTGTACGAATTGAACACTGACGCGACGTTCTCCATGCGATCGAGCCGACCTGCCTCGCAAGTCGACGTGTCGTTGCTGCATTGCTTGAGTCCCGAAGAAACGCTCAGGCGAATGTCGGCCAAAAAACTGCTGTGTCGGATGTACATGACGGATCGATACTCGGTTAACTATACCGCGCTGCTGTTGGCTTTCTGCAAGGACGAAACTCCGCGAGACGGATTTGCAAAAGCTCTGGCCTTGGCTCTAGGCAACCGTGTCTGCACCGATATGCACGAGGGCGAAAGATACGTCGAGGAACTTCTAGAGCGGAAGCGACTGGCTCGAGAGGCTCGACAACCGTCTTCTGACGGACCTCTCGAGGTAGGTGTCACAAATAATTACCTTCCAATTAGCTCGATCGTAGTTACGAAACTAATTTTTCCAATTTTGTGGTTTCTTGAACCATTGTTACTCCTGCACGTCTACATGATCGTCCGAAAAGTGTCTTTCTTTTACAAACACGTCTTTTACAACGACGCATCTTTATGCAAACATGAAACCTAATCTGTCGAACGTTGTGATCTTTATTTTGACAGAACAAAATGGATCATACGTAATTCGACAAAACAATATAAAACGGAAAATGTTGTGTATCCATTGTTTCCTTATAAAAGGAAAGAAACTTTTAGGACGACCTAATACTTGCAGGGAAGGTTAGACAACCTGGAAATTTGAGAAATTCTGAAACTTTGGGTACAAATAAAGTATGCCATTTTTTATGTAATAAAACCTTACTTTTTTCCTGTCGTAATTCGATTTTAAGAATGAAATCATCTCTCGAAAGAAATTCGAAATTTTTTCTCCTGAAATGTCTCAAGATCAGTGGAAGATATCTAAAAACGAGCTTAAAACAGAAGTCGTATCGTTTCATTGTGTCTACCGAATCGCGTAAGAAAAATTAAAAAAAAATCCATAGTCTTCGAGTTACCCCCACCCTCTTTAGGAATCATCGTTCCTAAAGAAATCTTTTTTAATATACATGTTAAAATACCTCTGGATACCTCCTTTTCGTATTTATCAGTGACCTTACATGTTTTTCAATCGAATAAACCAATTATTATCAGATATGATGTCCATTTTAGCAGTTTTCTTTAGCGAACCGATTTTAGGACACGATACCGAGTAATTTATTCTGATTTTAAATTCATTTATATGAAAATAATTACTATTACATTTGACCATGCTCGTGTACAGTAACAGTTTTTATTAATAAAAGGATCACCAGAGGTATTTTAACACGTACATTGAAAAAATTCCTTTCAAGGAATGGTTATGCGGGTGAACTTTTATTTAAACATTTCTTAGACAGTTTTATCGGTTTTTAGATATCTCACGAAAAAGGAAATTTGGAATTTTTTCCAAACGATGATGATCTTCGGTTTTATAAAACCGAATTATGGCGAGAAAAAGATAGGGTTGCATTCCGCATGATATACTTTACTCGTAGCCAAAGATGCAGAATTTTTCCAACTTCCGAGTTACCTAATTTTCTATGTTAGAATACATATTATTCAAACAGTTTTGGAGTATCTACGAGTACGATACGTTTCAGGTTGCGAAGACGATCCTGGAGTACCTGATGTATCAGGTCCAAAGAAGAATCGATCGAGATTCGGACCAGGAACTGGAGGAAACGAGCGCGTTGAAACTTTTTGGTGAACCGATCCTACCTGAGAGTGTGGAAACGCTCGAATCGTTCGCTGTCGGTGAACACACGTCAGCTGAGAGCATGCAGAAATGTTTCGTAGTGGACCACGAAGTAGTCATTTATTGGCTTACTCTTGATATTTGCCTTGTAAGGAACTTTTGAAAGCAATTGCAGTTTTTATTTTGTACAGCGACGAGTATATAAGTAGGGAAATAGTTGTTGATAGATTCAACTAATCGAACAGCTTTCTGGAATGAGATCGTGAAACATAATAAGCAGAGTCAATTGCATCTGAAATTGAGACAATAATAGGTGCCTCGGACTGCATATCTATCATGAGCCTGTAGATCTTTTCTTAGGGAAGCTTTTCGATTGTACTACGATATATTATATTACATTTTTACAAAGTATAGGATATAGAATTTGAAAATACTTTTCTTGTACTTTGAAACACTGTAAATACAAAAACGGCTTTCTCTGTTTATAACTCGTCACCGTATTTTCGATGTATCGAAATACTCACGTTCGTCCGGTCAGTTTCATTCTTTTGCTCGATCGTTCCAGACTGTACTGGCCGCGGCATTGTCATGGAACGTATTACACTCGGAACTTATCGGCAAGTGCAAGAGTTTCCCTGAAAAGTTAGCTTCAATATACGAAGAATTGAGAGACGTGGATCTGAACGACGAGAAGGACATCGTGTTGGCGCATCGACTTTTAAATCACGATTTTATGATACAATTTTTAAGCACAGCCGCCAAATTTACGGTCAAGAACATGGAGAACATGGTTCAGGAAATCTTGCGGGAAAGGCAAGATACGTGAAGTCTTGTGGTTAGATCTCTACAAAAAAAGTCCACTTTCTGGAACGTTTGAAATGCATAATAATTACAAAACAAAATAATGGCAAAACGAGATAAAACGTTAAAGACAATTGTTGAAGAAAGACCCGAGAGATTTACGAGGAGAAGCTTTAACAGGATTTATTATTTCGATACATCACGAGCGTAACTTGTGAAAAATTCTAATCTTCCAAATAAACTGCAAACACATCGTGTATTACGTACACGAAGATACGAGTTACATTTTCCTACGCCTTATTTATTTCGTCGTTTCTATTTCGATTTAACACCGACGAACCACGTCCTCGTATCCGTGTTCATTCGCGAATATGCACCTTAATACCATGATACCTTAATAATTATTCTCGATATAAGCGACGGATTACGAATAATCGTACGTATATTACACACCGCATTCTTCATTACCCTCGTATAAATAGCTAAAATCTGCTTACGCTACTCCCTTCGTTTCAATCGTCGTGCCTTTTACAAAGTTGCGCGAGACGAGTATAACCGAGTACGGATTAAACGTTTAACCAACAAAATTTGTATTCCTTTCGTATTTGTCGATGAAATGTATCTACGAAAATATTCCTTTCCTTGTAATGTCTTGTCTCGATCGTCATCCGAGACGCGCGTGAACATAATGTTACAACGGAGAACCGTTCGGAAGGAACAACGATCGAAACAAGAAAGAAAATAGTACATAGTAGGTAGCAGCCGCAATAGTAGTAGTAATAGTAGTAATAGTGGTAATAGTGGTAGCAGCAACAACAGCAGTACATAGTAGTAGTAGTAGTAGTTGTTGTTGTTGTGACAGTAGTAGTAAATAGTAATAGTAATAGCGAGAATAGTAGTAATAGTAACAATAATGATAATAATCATAATAAAAAAGGACGTTCGTTTTCAACGAATCGGTTAAACTCATTGACGTTTCCCGACGTCTTTCAACCTTCCGCTTGCTTATTCTCTTATTGTTACCTATTATCGATTATTCGATAATGCCTTGTACACAGTATCCTTATAATAAAGCGGAATCGTCTCGCGTGTATCGTTCTCCTTTAAACGTTAACTTCGCGTTTAATGTTAACGAGCTTCTTCGAAATAGTAAGAGTCAAGAGCACGGTAGAAGGAAGGACGCTGGACACTCGATAGCCATGAAAAACGAGCAACATCGATCTCATCTCGAGTAACACCGTTTGAAATTCGATCGGTAGGAACAACGATTAACGAGGCGCATACCGAGCGTACAGAGGACTGCGTGCCTGTGTTCGATTCCGAAACCTGTTCTCCCGGTATCCAATGTTTCACTCTACAAACACGAGCGGCGCGACGCGCAGAAAACGTCTGCCTGTTGGCGTAATTCTACCGTGCTCGTTCTCGTATTCTGTTCCGCGAGATTTTTGTCGCCGCAAGGAAGGTGCATTATTCACAGCCCGTACTCTCACCCTTAACGATTTAAGCATCGAAACCCAAACGATCGAACGTCGTGTGACGCCATCCAACCGCGTACTTTACGTTACACGTGATATGTATTTGTGTGTGTCTCGATTCGACCGAAAACATTTTTCATTCTCCTTCTTTTTTTCTTTGTTTCTGATTTCTTCGCCTGCGCATTTATTCTCGCACGTCCCGTTTGAAAAACACAACCGCGACAGCCCAGTTTCGTTCCAGGCGAACGAAAATTTACTGGAATTTTTTCATCAAATTTTTCTACCGCTTCCTTCATCTGTTATACACGATCGCGTGTTTCCAAGCAGCGCGCGCGAATTGCCTTGGCGGTATCGTAGCAAATGTGTGTTTATGCGTGTATCGTGTATATGTAAACGCGTGTACGGTTTTTAACATATTTCGAGGAAACGTGTATAAACGACGAGTGCTCTCGAATACGCGGGGTTCCGACATTAGTTCACGTTATACGCTTAAGTACCGTTTCCGTTGCACGTTCGTCTACACGATTACACAAGCCCCTAACGCGGAAATAAACCTTTCGCGACACAATTAACCAGCGTAACGTAATAATTAAATCTCGCAGCTCCGCATGAATCTTATAAAAATATGCTTTGTCTGTGGTTCGTGCTAGAGACCGTTGTTTACGTGACTTCTTTTTATCTTCAAACGACCAAAAACATATATATTCAAGTTTTCCGACAATCTTTTTCGTTTTATTATTTCTTTGGAAATCGCGTAAGCTGTGACACCGAACGATGACTGAAGATCAATCGTTCGTTAGTACCTTAATCGAGCCGTACGAATCGTAAAGACGATAGCACAGACTTTACTTCCATCGTACGGAAATTCTTGAATTTCTAGTAAGGAGCAAAACTTGTGACAAAATTCGAGTTCGCAACAGTTGCAATATGCAATAGGTCCGTAACACAGGAAGTCGCAAGGCACGATTAAAACGAAATTGCGTCGGGATGTCGAAAACAAAGGAAAGGATCTGTTTGTCCTATTCAATGGGGAAACTAGCGGGAAGGTGTTCGCGGTAGGTATGTAACTCGAAGGAAGCCACCTACGACACCGGCTGAAAGGTCGTTTACAAAGCTGTCCTGGATACACAGCGGACAACCGGAAACTCGGCCTGTCGGAGAAGCCTCGAGCTTTCTATGGTTCGTACGTATGTACTCGCGTACGCATATAGACCGATACATACGCGTAAAGTGTACATATACACATATGTGTACTATATAACTATAGTAGCGGGATCCGGAAAGGATGGCACAGCTGCCACTCCTGTTTCTCTTTACGCGGTTTTCTCGCTTTACGCTTTCCTTCTCGCTTACTCTTGGTAGCGCGTACACACTTGCATACACACACGCATACATATATTCTCACTCTCCTTTGGCACGTTAGCTCGTACGCTACATTCTACGTGGTCTTTAATCTATCGTTGCGATAAAAAAATACGAGGAATAAAAATATATCACGTAACAACGTTTCTCCCATTCGCCGCTGATGACAAAATCACGGGAGAAACAACTCGTCCAACTCGTCGGTATCCTAAAGCGGCTGAAACACTGACTTCTTTCAATAATTCATGTTCCTCGAACCCAATAAAAAAGTGTCTTCGCCTCTTTTCTTCTTTTTCCGTCTTTCGTTTTTAAGAGATTTACCTTGCTACGTTGAGAACGCGACACGTCGTCGGAGCGTAACTCGTTTCCTACTCCGCGACATTTCGCGTTTGGATCGAAAGGATATTCTTCTTAAGCGATCTCGAGCAGATCGGGTCGCTATCCGATCCAAGACAGCCATCAGCTAGGTTGCGGAGGCGTCAGCTTTATCAGAAGCCACGTGTACAACTTTGGCTTCTGTTTGTCGACCAGCTCGTATTGAAGATTGCTCAGTCCGTCCGTGGAGAATCTTTTCTTGCCCGTCTTTAGATACTCGTATCTGCGCAAGGCGAAGAAATTCAAGATTAAGCGTTGGTATTTGTACGCGAATACCGGATCGAATCGGTCGACAGCTCACCTTTTCGGATTAGCCTTCTCCTTCTTGTGCGTAAGCATCTTATACCGTGCCACGTTCGCTGGATATCGGGAGATATGAAGACCGTGCGCTTTGATTCGATTCGCCATGTCGTCGTCCTCGCCGCCCCAACCCCAGAACACGTTGCTGAATCCGTTTACCAGGTGAAATTGCTCGCATGACATCGCCGACACGCCGCCGAATAAATCGGCATATGGTAGCCTGCATAAAACAACGACGACACGCGTGACGAAAGAAATCGAAGTTGAAATATATAGTTGAAGCAACGTATCTGGTTCGATGTTAGCGCGATACCTGTATTTGAACTTGTCCACTGCAACGGACATGTGCCTCGGTTGTTCCGGGCACGTGTACAGATTTCTATCGTCTTCGGGAAGTAGGTCGACATCGTGAAAAATGAAACAGTCGAAAGGTCGTTCCTTCAAGGCTTCCACGTATCCTACGTTCATGAGCATCGCGCGATTGAAGGCGTCGCTACCTGGAAAACGGGGAAAATTACTCGATCGATCGTCTCGCAAAAGCGAAGCGAAAGATTTTGAACGATTTCGCGCGTCATTTCTTTCCAACGAGATACGATTCACGCTCTTGTGTACCTTAGTCCTCGGCCAGAGGACGCGATTCAGAAACGAGTACAGCTCGATCAAAAGTTTCGCATCTTATCTCTATATAGGAGGCCTCGAGAGGACTGGAGAAGCTGGCGAAAAAGTAGGCCGTGAGCTCTATCTTCGGTCAACTCTGCGCTCGTTCCACTATTCTTTTAACATCTTGCAGATGTACGCAGGCGTAAAGAGTTTCTGCCTAAACGTAATCATCTCTTTACCGCGATACGATTCCGTTTACACGCCAGAAATCATCCCATTTTTTGGATGGCCATTCACACGATGCGTCATCTATCTCCACGAACCAAATTCGGTAAACGAGCGATTTGTTCGCGTATATGCAAATAGGTTGAATGGAAGTATGTTTGTCAGGTATCGACAGTTTCCCTGTCGCTAGCGGACACGTGCGATGTATCGGAGACGCGGTCGTTGCATCTAGGTCAACCGAGGAACAACATAACGCGTGAGATCGCGTCAAAAGGAAAAATTGTAGGGTCGTGGGTAAAGAAGAGCTACAGATTCTGAAAGGCGAGACGCTTACAGTTGACAGCATCTATAATAGATACGACACTTTTCTCTTTCACCAATCTTTTCTTCGTCTATTCGGCTGACTGTTATCATTTCGTGATCGTTGATCCTTCGGACCGATCGATCGACTTTTATTCCATTTTTGGCGATTCGTTACCTAGTTTCGACTCAGTTATTCATTGTTATTTTTTGCACATCGAAGGCCAGCGATGGTGCTTTCGTTGAAATTCGTTCATCCGTAAGCGCTGCTCTACGCTGATGAACGTAAATTAAGTTTGTACGCGGGTTTATTATCGTGACGAAGATTCTTGAGAGCGGGAGAACTCGATTTTCAAGTTTGTCGACGTGAACGTCTAGATAAGTCCGCATAACAAAGTTCGCGTCCTCGAGAAGATTGGTCTACGTTTAATGGAAGCTCGCCGATCAATAGGTTTGATTCGATTCAAATGGACACCCGCGTTCTCCGCACCACCAAGGAAGACTATTAATACAGTTCGATGTTCTATGAATATAGTGACGATCGTTGCGTTAACAAGCTCGGGCTCCGCTATTGTTTCGCATCTTACATTAATTTTCTAAAATTCCGATAGATCAATCGTTTTCCTGACAATTCTAATTGACTAATTCTTACATTCTGACTTTGTACGATGATTTTCACTGACTTTATAACGAGAAAACATGTCGTCGCGATTGCACGGCAACGATGACTATGTACAATATTGCTATGTACAACAAGTTTGACGCAATTCAACGACCACAAAGAGGGAATAGACGAAGAAAAGATTAATTTTATATTAACGGTACCATGGCAAATCGAGGACAGCTATGACTAATCGCGCCTGAAAGTAACTGCCACTACTCGATCTTGTTCGCAACGCTCGAGTCATGCTCGAGTCGCGGCGAAACTGACGGGTTTCGCGACGTGGGATTTCAACGATGTCGCGCGGATTCCTTTTCGAAACGGAAAAATCGTACTAGTACAACTGGTATTTCGAGTGTAAAGGATTAAAGCTGTGTAGAGGTATCTATCTGAGTGGAATGCTATCGCGAGTCGCATATGTTATCTGTCAGAAGTCAACATTGCGCTTGAGAGCAAGCACGCGAAAGCGACGCTCAATTACCGGAGATCGCTCGCGTTCCAACTTTCTCTCGAGTGAATACAAAATAATGTTACTATCGAATGCTTCCAAAATGCGAACCACTCTCGTACTATAACTTACTCTCCCCTGAGAGTATTCTTCGGCGTCACTGTGCTGACTAGAATAGATATGTGAGCGACAAAATCTGGTCAAAACTTGACCGTGCGAAACAGTACAACGAACTGATCGGCACGTCTCTCTTTATCTCTCTCTCTCTCTCCCTCTTTCTCTCGAGCTCATGCTACCGATACCGCAATGCGGTACGTACAACAGTTATCATAGTTCGCGCGTTACCAATTAGATTACGCTTCAGTCTTCTTACATAAAACATTATCATCGTGTTTCGAAGACCTTGACATCGGGCAACCGCTCCGCGTATTTCCCCAAGTGAATTTGTACCGAGAGATCGGTCGTTGCTACTGTTAATAATCACGACATCCGTGAAATAAAAAAACCTCGCGGTTTGTTGGTCGTCACGCCATATGTCCTGCACGGTACTGTGCCGCGTAACGAATAGATTAACAAAATAAAAAGGAACAAGATTCGAGGATACCGAAGGTGAATCACGTTCCTGTGAAAGCTCGCTTACCTTTCTGTTCGATCACGAATATTTGATAGTCGATCTGTTGGCGAAGCAGCATCGGGTGAAGATTGTAAAGCAACGCTTGAAGGTGTATCAGTCGATCGCGAAACGGAATGATAATGGCTACCCGATGTCTGGCTGTACAATTCGCTGGACAACCTTTGCCTCCTGGCTTCACCTCGGTGAACGTCTTTTCCATTTCTGCCAACTCCGGAGGAGACTTGATAACGGTCAATGGGCCCACTGTTAATGTCCAATGCAATGTTAACGCCGATCTTTTAAGGCAGATACTTTTGAACGTTGATATATAACTTTTAGTTAGATGTAAAAATTTATATATCGCTAGCACATCCGTAGATATAACATAGGAACTGTATAGTTTCTATTTAAGCCTGATGGAACTGCCAGCGGAAAACTATCTAAATGATAAATAATGCAGGAATGACACAGTGGATGCTAGAAATTTTACATTCACCTTGGATAGCACTGGAAATCTAAAGATAAGACAAGTAAGGGAATATTTCTTGCGGCGTCACTGTGTTCCTTCTAGGCAAGAAAATTCCACGAGCATATCGGCGAGTAGAATGAATCAATGAGCACGCAGAGGCTGTATCCGAGTGCCTTTGCGAAACGAGCTTTTTCTCCACGATATTCGTCATCGTTTTATTTCCTTTCTATGGGATATTCTCGTTTCTATTTTTACAACGCTCCGTAACGTTGACGTTGCCTTTCGCGGCAAATTTCGCTAAAGATCGTTGAGAAACGCCTCACTAAAGCGGAGAAAAATTTACCAAGATTCGGTGGAATAAGCGGACATCGCGGTACCACGGTACTGTTTGTCGAGTTTGTGGTCAAAGATTCCTGCGAACTTCCTACGATGTACGTATCTCGAGTGGAGAAGTCAGTTTCCAGTTTGGAGAAGCTGGAATTATCTCTGCCGCCCCAATACAAGGTCGCCAAGGTGGCATTGTTGTTACCAAATATACTCGACACCGTTACAGGCCCGTATATGATCAACCCTCGTGGATGATGCCTGTACGTACGATCCGCGTACCTGAAATAAAATAAATCTTAAGCCAAAATTATATCGCGATTTTGCAACATCGGATTCTATTTCCAAATTCCTTTAATGAAACTGATAGTTTTCTTGGTCTTTGTTTGAATATATTGAATATGTATATGAATATATATTGAATATATATGAAATTGGATATCAGAAAAGTGATCGTCTGTTATCCGATGCATTACTAGCTAAAAGAGTAGTATCGAGTTTTGTAACTCTGTAGCTTATTACGTTCTTTCTTATATTATTTTACGTTTAACGAGTAGAAACTTGCAACCTAACATTCCTATACATAATATACACCACTCGCTGCCAGCCGACTAACCGGTAATTCCACTCGATCTCTAAATGCATAAAAATTCCACGATCGAACGTCGATTGATATCAGGTTTGAATATCTTCCGCACGCAACGAACCAATTAACAACTGTGCAATGCAATTGTGCCTAGACCATGTGAGCTAGAGTACGACTGCTAACTGCAAGCCGATTTCACTCACCTCGTTAATACGTTCTACGACGATTAGGAAACCGATAGACTCCGTCTAATCGCCAAGGTAATATCGCCGCTTGAAGAAACCCGGTCCGAACTGATATAACGTCGTCGCGCTCCCAACTGAGACTTTCGAATCGACCCAAATTGCTTTGTGTGCAACCGATTACCGTTTCTCCTCTTCCCAGCGAACCTAATAAGACGCAAACGGGGCATTTCGACTCGAAATTAACGGAATTCGACTGCCACTCAGCCTCCGGCTAATCTCGACGAGGTTTCCATCCTAGTGCTTGGAAACACTGACCTGGTAAATTCAATTGCTAAATGATGAATCTTACGATTACTACGGAAAAGTGTTCGAATCGACGCGACGCCTACGTTATTTCACGACTCGAATAATTTCAGCAATTTCTTTCGAATACATTATTTCAACGCAATGGGAGCTTTCGATTACAAATACAAATAATTCGATCGAACCTCGGTAGTAATTTTGAGAAATCGACGCAACGCGACGGCCGAAATGACTTTCAGTTTCGGCTCTATTTGGAAATTACATGGCTGCGTTAAGTTCCATTGGAATTGCTTCGAAGGAAAAAATTGTATTTTATATTATTTTCTTGTTTTTTTCATAAGGAATCGCTTCGTGCCCACTTGTACATAACTTTCGGCCGCACCCTGTATATAGAGTGCGATGCATGCAGCGTGCGCGCGTATCGCATTTGCAAACAACGATCGTCGCTAATTTCGATAACGCATTTGAAAATTAACTGCAGTTCGTGAATCGGTTGAAAAATCGATACGTTCCGGTAGAACGACGTAGCGGTGGATCGCGTCGTGTTGCGCAGTAAATCAGAAAAAAGATGGTTGCCTAATCGCGAAAAATTTATTGGATACTGTACAGACTAACATTGCCCGGAGCTTAACTGCAATATTTGTAGTAACTCCAGTTACTGTATTTATTTTTTCGCGTAAAATCATCTCGTATTACGGAACACTTTACACAGTCGTAAATAATTCACAGATTTACGGATTATCGCAATTTGTTATCACTGTTTTGATTAACTTGTTCGAAATATTTCCTTGTCACCCTTAATAGAAATACCTGAAAAATCGTGACCGTCGCGTGAACTTTATTGAATCGTGGGAGATGGAAAAAGAAATAGCAATTGAACGAAATATGACGTAAATCCATGCTTCTTGCTTTGACTAAATATTCAAACATAAAATTCGATAACGTAAATTATCTGAAAAAATGACAAATGACACGTTGCATTAATGCAATGTTGATTCTTAGTGGGTTAAACAGTGTTGTGTTGTTTGCCACGGGATCGGCGGGAAAGTCCAAATAACGTGCATTCTCATGCATATGCATGCGTGTTATTCCATTGCATGTGCACCCGTGGTCGTTGTGAAACGCTTGGCCGATTTTTCGTTGTGTCGCGATAACCGAGGTCAACAGAGTTACATTTTGTTCCAAATATAACTCCAAACATAGCAAAGCCGGTGACTGTTTCTCTGCGAGTTTCACAGCTAAATGCGTTAATAGAGTTGCAAGAATCTCTGGGAAGAAATTTTGCATTTAAATGGGGTTGTATCCGCCAGTATGGGGGCTTACGAAGAATCGCGTCGTAAGTCACGAGCAAGTTCTAAAGCGATGCAATTGTAAGATAGAGAAGAGACTGGGAATATGAAATATCCATTTTATAACAGAGCCTTCCGTACCCGTATCTCCATTATTTGTATATTTTGAATATTCTAAAATCATATTCATATTTGCAAAAAGATCTTACTAGAATATGAGATATAAAGTTCAAGCAAAAAGACAATATTGATTGGAGATAGAAGAGATTCGTTTTAATTCCGTAATATTGCATCTTTAACCCCTTAACCTACGATTTACGTTCGAGAATTTTGGGCCGATTTACGTTTGGTCCGATCATCTACTGCGGGGTATGCCCGTAATATTTACGTTTGACCCGATCATCGTACTACGGGCTATGCCCGTAATTGTAGGTTAAGGGGTTAATCTTTAATCCCCCCGACGTTCAGAAGCAATCTGTGAGTATCGCGCTGATAGAACATATCAAATAGATAGATAGATAGAACATAGCAAATATTATGATTAATTTATTTCCAAATAATTTCCAAGTAAGCTTCAAATATTTTCCCTGAACGACTCTATAAGGAAACGTTCGACGTGCTGAACGTCCTGAAGCAACGGAAGTTCGTATTGGTCGATACCTAACTAAAAGGAAACGTCTAATAAAAGTTTGTAGGTAACTGTTTGACTTTTGTATTAGCATTCCAAAAGAATTAATAAGCGCAAACATTGTTTGTTTGTAAGAAAAATCGGAAACTCCGGTTCTCATACCGGAGCTAAATATGGCCAGGTTAAAAAAAATTAGGTTTCTCGGAAGCACTACTTCTACTAATGAGATTCCAACCAAAAGAGGAGGCGCAGGTGTGCATATATGAATAACGGTATGGTCATGACGTCCGAGGCAATGACGACACTTCTTGACAATAGGGTATCGAATTAACAATATGTACCATGGAGAAATATGGGTATAATATGCGAGACATAGAGCGACAAGCTAGAGCTTGATCGCAACTAACAGTAACAGCGAATGTCAGCGCGATTAGATGCAGAATCGTGCGTCCGTGGAATGGCTAGCTAGCTATTCAAATGATTGCTTGTTTGCATGTACGAGGCGCTATGCGATACGAGGGATCGTATCTGCGACCTGTGCACTGTGACACGATACGTGTCGCGTTAATCCATGGAAAATCGTGTGTTCTCTACGCGAAATGAACGATCGTTTCGTAACGCGTTACAAATTGTTAACGCATCGAGAATGCCATTCTTCAGAACGCCCCTTGCTACCTATTATGAGGTAATTGTATTAACTTTGTGAAAGTAGCAGTTAATCTGACAAGTTAACGCTCAAATATTTTTAATTACACGTATTACATCGCGATACAGTGAATAACGAAAATATTCAGAGTACGATATGTTATGTATAAAAGGAAGTAAATGTTGTTGATCGAAGAGAAACAACCCATTAGAGTACCGGTATACACATATAAAGGGTGGTTGGTAACTGGTGATACAAGCGGAAAGGGGGTGATTCCACGCGAAAAAAGAAGTCGAAAATATAGAAGAAAAATTTTTTTTTAATTTTTTTAGAACTCTACACTGAGATCCGTTATAACGAGATGTGATAACGTGCACGCGTACCGAGCGAAAATTCAACGTCGATTTTCTCGAAAACAAAGCCTCAAACGAAAAATTTTTATTCTATATTTTCGACTTCTTTTTACGCGTAGAATCACCCCCTTTCCGCTTGCACCGCCATTTTAGAACTCTACACTGAGATCCGTTATAACGAGATGTGATAACGTGCACGCGTACCGAGCGAAAATTCAACGTCGATTTTCTCGAAAACAAAGCCTCAAACGAAAAATTTTTATTCTATATTTTCGACTTCTTTTTACGCGTAGAATCACCCCCTTTCCGCTTGTACCGCCAGTTACCAACCACCCTGTATATGTTTTCACTTTGACGACAAGTGATCGTTGCAAGGAGTAAATCCAACTTCAAAGATATAATTCTGTATCGTTGTATTTTAACATTTAACCGGTAAAAGAAACGTATGTACGCGAACAACCAGCGAACTGAAATTGCATTTGCTTCCTTTCATTTCATTCTCATTTTTCTCGCTGATATCTGCACGCCGCGCTGGGTACATGCTTCGAGCAAACGGCAAACTATTTTACGCGGTAAAGTTCAAAGCGACGCGTCACTGCCCTCAGGATATTCTGTATTTTATAACCAAAAAAAGAGCTGCATCACCCCCAGAGTTCTGTTTCTTTAGACGTGTTCGTTCGTCGCCGAAACATTTTTCTCCTCTCTTTTTTCATCGTACTGGTTTAATCGTTTGAAACTCGTCTTGAATTGTACAGTGCCGAGTAAATCCGTGAAACTGCAACTCCGGAGAATACGAATGGTTAAAGGATCGTTAGTCAGTAGCTTCCGCAAACGGACAATCTAAATGACCACTAACGAAGTAACGAGATCACGTACGCTTCTAGAATATTCGCGCAGATTGGACGAAATGACGAATTTTCTCGGGAATTTACTTGGATGCGAGCAAACCGAACTTGTCGGTTCCCATTACATAATCATGGTAATTTGATATGATTTTCGCCCGGAAATAAAATGTTCAAACTTTTCTCGTAATTCCATCGACATACTCCATGTATGAGATTCTATGTTAATTTCAAAACGTCTCTAGCGTTTCGCAATTTTTTATTTTATTAATTTGGATTCTTTCGGAACATTACTGATTTGCAGACCTCTCGTCATAAATTTCGCTAACTGTTCGTCTTAAAAAGTTGCCTAAACAGCGCTTTAGTTTTTCGTTCTGCTTCTCTCCCTTCTTCTCGCTCCTTGAAAAGATTAAAAACTGATGCAATGAAAAAATGTATCCTACAATTAAACCGAAGGATTAAAGCAAATCATACGATTCGATTTTTAGGAAATAGAAACGACAAAGTTTTAGCACCGAAAGACGATAGTTCGAGTGGATTCGTGAGTCTGTGTACAGTGTATATGCAACGAATATACAGAATTATCGATTAATCCATTGCGATGCATCTCTGTAAAAATTTGCGTAAGCTTTCGCGGTCTAATTATCATGGGAAACGTCTGACGTACGTACCTGGTAGCGTTAATGGTAAAAATCGTCTCTATGGAGCGACGATCGATCACGCCACTAAGTAAATACTGAATGGCAATAAGAGCGAGGACGACGCAGGCGATCGCCTTGTAAAGGTGGGCACGATGCCACAGTGCCACGGCTGCAGCCACAGTCATCGCATGTACGAGACACCATAACTCCCTCCTGCCGCCGTTAGAAGAGCGCCGTACTGGACGAGGCGCTCCCTGCTGGCTGTTGTTGCTGTTCCTCTGCCCTGCTCGCTCTTCCACGCCTTCGACGCCTCCTCCTCCGAGATCCAGAAGGACGCCCCGAACTGTATTCGTCCCCTCTGCTTCCAAGCAGTGGTTGACTTGTTGGAGAACGAGTGGAAACAGCCGGCGGAACAGGACCAAGGGCCGAAGAAAGAAAAGGCCGCCCGGAGCTTCTCACTTCCGCTCACCAAGCGCATTACCCTCCGGCAACAGTGCTCTCAGCGTAACGACACCTTCGGTATCCTGACAAATAGAAAAAACCAGTTCGCCTTGCACAATTCGTGTTTTTTCACTCTGTTTTTACATTGGTATTTGTCACTCCACTGAATGACCGCAAATCGCAGATATGACAATCGATTACCAATATCGTTTCAAGGGCCCGTAAATCGAGCGAACGAAACTAATTCCTACTACCGACATTGACACGAATCGCACGATTCAAATATCGATTGCAGAGCATAAAAGCCGTTTAAAGGCAATTTCTCGAACAATCCTTTATTAATCTACTAAGGACCGATAATGCGTTGACGAACATTCCATCTCACAAAGTTTCAAATTGTCAGATCTTAAGGTCTTCAAAATTTTCCAATTGTTAGATTTCTAAATTTATTACTTTGCAATAACGTCGATCCGTGTATATTATTTTACGTATTATTTCACCGCTTAGGCCTTGCTGGATTAACGTTAACACATCCGCTACCAATATCGGATATATGAGTGTCATAAATATCCGAAGACTTCGGTCGATTTATAGGAACAGTACGTGAGTTTAATTCGCTCAAATTATCGATGAATCAGTAATCGGGAAAACGCTTATTATCTTTTTATGAAATGTACAATACAATGCTAAACGTAGGGAACATTTTGCTGCAATCGTTTGTGCTAGGGAACGTGTAAACTAGATGGAACATAGCAACTATCTTCGTTGAGAAGATGTTAATCAACGAAGCAACGTTAGCGTTCTACGCGTTTCTATGAAAACGGAAAAATTCAATGGGAAGAAAAAAATGTGGTGCGAAGCATTGTTTAATTTGTACCCACGTTCTGCAAGGAAGAGAGAGGAAGCTGTAAATCTGAACTTGAAAGGAAGCATGATAGATCTTTAGAATATCGCATAGAAAACAGGGAGTAAACATTCCGTACGGATCTACGTAATAATAAATGGTCCGGATAGAGATTAGATAACGCATCCGGTGTGTGGCAGTCAACCACTACTTCGTTGCTTTTGAATATAATTAAATTTAAAAATCTCAGAAATCATTATCACCACAGATAACGTATATTTTTAGAAAACCATCACGTACGATGTCACTGTCCAAGATATCGTATCCAATCTAGTTTTCTAGCGCGTATTGCATGATCAGAGAAAGTAAGTAATCATGTAACGCGTTGTTGCGCTCATACGAGCCACGCTTTATCACTTGCTATAAAACGAAACAGTAATCGCAAAAGGCTGTTACCTCGTAATTACGTAAATTTCGCAAACAGTACACGCGCAAACACCTGAAACACCTGAAACACCTGAAACAACATTCAAAGTCAGGGACAAAGAAAGATATTAGAAGGCCAGCATCGATCGCGTCGCACACGCGCGTTTGATTATTCCAATACAGACTTATTAAACCTGTTTTCTAGTCGAATTTTTGCGTAATAAGTTTAACAGAGATAATACGACTACAAACACGGTTAAAAATAATCGTGAAGCGTACAGAGAACGTATGTCAGCTATGACATGTCACGATAAGTGGTTTTCAGCATTTCAAAATGGTATCTTTGATTTTTTGACGAAGGTACAGATAATCAGTAACATTCGATGCATTAAAGCTTTAATTGAGAATCTTATTCAACAATCCGAGAAATAGCTGAAAGATTAGATAACATCAGTAATAGTTTACACTGAAATTTGCAATAAATTGGAAAAATATCGTAATTTAGAAAATAAGTTCCGCGTGACTTGTCGGTAACTGAAACTTTGCCCCATCACGGCAATGTTAGATTGTACACAGGAAAGAGAACCTTGGAGAAAAATTAAGTTGCAATTCAGAATTTGTGTCACTCCCATTATACTGCCACAAATACACAAATATAATATGCAAAAGTAACCAAATGCTTTCGAGTGACAACGTATAAAAAAATTTGCAACATTCGGTATTGATATTTTAGTCTACTTATAAGAACGGTTGAGATATATGATCGATAACATTTGATGTATCCATGTACTGTTACTATATACGAGAAACGACAAAGACGTAAAAAGAATGGCAGTGTGAATGGATTGTTGGCCGTGTAATTTATTGCAAAATCTACAATTACAATGGTTATTACGATATCATAACATCGCGGCATCGAGCCTCTCCAAACGTTCGCATCTCTCTTCGGTCGCGTGTCAAACAAATTAGATCGAATCGATAGCATTAACACAGATGTTATGGAAATATACATATTACGTTTCATCCACTTAATGTTCTAAAGAGTGCGATTCTTTTAAGATAACTCGATACATGAGTTTTTCTGATAAATTTAGAACAGTTACTACGGTATTTTTATAAATGAGAAGTCCTAGAGAGTTGGACAAGTGAAATACACGATCTTCGATAAAGAAATTATAGCTTTGGATTAATCCTTCTATCCGATGATAGAGCTAATGAAAAATTGAATAGCACGCATTATGTATTTATACAAGTTTTCTATGGCGAATGTTCAAACACTTTCGTGATTCGATGTAGGTGAAAGCACTTGAAAAAATCGAGCAAAAGTAAAACGTTGGTACGCGAAAGATATTACGTTGAAAAACTACAGTATTATTTTCCGTCGACAAGCGACAGCGTTCGCACTGGTGTGGAATTCTTCTGGAAGATCCATTCGGAATTTTCTCTGGCGCGTCGAATAACTTCCACCGCGTGATCGCGTATCGATTTTCTCCTCGGTGCACCGATTGCGTTGCGTGGGCGGAATAGTCAAAGAGGATATTATCGTCAACTCTTCCTAAGCAGACTCGATAGTATGTTATCGCGTTCATCCTTTATAACAATCGTTATGTCTTGTGTGTATTTCGATATATGTACCTCGATATTTAAATTCACGGTATATAAACGAAATACTTGCTGCAGCGGAATCATCCATGTTCGATACATAGCCTTGAACGAAACAACCTCTGTGCGTTTATATCGCTGTCGTCTCTTGTTTGCTTCCACTTTGAATCATAGTTATTTTCTTCTATACGCGCGTAGCAAATACAAACGTTTCATATCACAGTTTATCTCGATTATTGTCTAATAAAACATTACGTCAGCATGTTTACCGGAATCTCATCAAGAGGGAAATCAATAAAAGTCCCTCCAACATACATTTTCTATACGTGATTCTCAAATAGTAATATTGAACAAGAATAGAATTTTTTTACAAGAATGTAGCAATTTCTTTCAATTTCTATTCTTGTGTTTCGATATTTCTTACAAGGGACCATCCCCAAATGAATAGAATTTTCGACGACAGACGTTCATTCGTTCGTGACCTAAATTTCGATTGACCGAGTCTGTTGAAAGAGTTGTGCCGTGAATCAAACGATAACTAGAAACCGGCCACATTCCAAACTCGGTAACTCGATAAACACCCGAGCGACACAACGTTTCAAGGGTTTCCATCTTATTCCGAGACTTCTTTCGAATACATCTCGATTAAAGTAGCGTATATGCACATACTAAGATGAAAAGCGATTCATAGGCATGCGTTTGAAACGAGTGTCGTGCAATATGCATGTCGTATGCTTTCATCGAAACGCAGACCTGGAGACAAAAGAGAAACGCTATCAAAGAGATTGTAAGGTGTGCCGTTCACATTACGTTCAAACCTTTATTTTCCATCATTTTATACCCTACATCGAAGATGTAAAGAGAGATGAGTTCATTCCTCCGAAAATATTCAGATTACGCTTTCATCTTAAATTCTTTCAAGATATTCCGTCTTTTCGAAATTGATTTCCACGTAAGCTGAGTAATGTGCATGCATAATTTTTAATGCAATAGCGATTATTACTGGCTTATAAGCTGATGCAACAAAAAATAAATAATTCATCGAAGAAAGTTTTTTTTCCGAAAAGTGAGAACTCACGCGTTTCTAGTCCTATATAAGAAAACGGAAGCTAGACTCTTTAACCTTTTAAATATTTAACTATTTAAACGAGTTTCTGGTTGATGGTAAACTATGTCGGAAACGGACGCGCACGTCGCAAGCTCCGGATGTATAAATTACGGTTGTTTCTTCGAGATCACTGTATTTTCTATCATCCGGATATTCCAACTGTTTCCCAACGCTGTTAACTTTGTCTCTCCACATTTTAATTCTTTAATACGAGACATTGCACACCGCTTTTCGACCACGCTCATAATTTTCTCCATTATAAGTACTCATTGTATACCTTTCAGCGCTTTGTTCCACTCTTTTCTTCTTTCTTTTTTCTTTTTTTGCACCACAATATCCGCTTTGCACCGTTTATCTCTGAAAAATTGTCCTTCCATGTTTACTAATCGCTTCGGCACCAGATTATCGATAACAGGAAGTACCTTGAAATGTTTCATGGTCACTACTTGTAACACTTTAGCCATGGCATGTATTATTACGTGAAACATTTACTACAGATATTATTACTTAAATTAATATGACAAGTATTAGTAACTTTAAAGATGGTTTGTCTCAAGATAGTAAAGTTAATTGAACGGCTGAACGATACAAAGGATCGGCCAATTGTTACTTATGCATGGCCTAATTCAGATAATCATATTATCAGAAAGCACATTTGTTATTAACGAGCTGTGTTGCGTTCAGCGTAGTACCACTTGCGACGGTTTATCTTGTTATGGAAATTTGCTCGACCCCTCTTCATCTCTGCAAATAACCGAGCAACTTTCATACAGTATTTATGCAAATTTCAAAACGCAATCTTTCTTATCATCGATGGCGAACCGGTTGATTTGGTTATCTCTCTTCCTGATTAAACAGAAAATGATCTAGAGATTTACGAAAAAGAAAACGGACGTCCTAACAAATGGATTTTGTATCTATTAAACTGTAATATGGATAATGTAACATTCGCACAACGCAAGACCATTTTGTTATGAAAGGATTAAGTAAGAAAGAATCGAATAATTTTGTAATTAACACTAACTAGAGAAACTTCCTACTTTCTATGACTAACATGTTCCAGAAGAAATTTTACCTTCCAACCTTCTTCGGAGTTTGAGGCT